GGGGGGGGGGGGGGGGGGGGGTACTGCCCTCCTCGAGCCCCCACCCCTGCACAGACAGCACCCCAACCCCTGGCGTGTCCATCACCCCCAAGCTTCTTACAAAAGGGGAAATCCCTTTCTTGTGTTTATTTGCCAACGAGTCAGGCAAACAAACCGCCAGCTGAAAATCTCCCGGGCTCCTTAGTGTCCCAGCTGAGCAGTCTTGTTAATGGTCCAGCTCCTTTGATTGCTGGAGATGTGGGGCGCTCATACGTTCGCTCGCCCTCTCCCTCCCATCGGAGGATTTTAGCAGGCAAAATTTAAATTTTGGCGAGTCCTTTTTTAAAAAAAGAAAGAAACCCACAACCCTGCCCCTGGACCTCTTTGACAAATGAGAAGACTCCCAGCATCAGCACCAAGCGAGTGAGCTACAGTGAAGCTGTGAGTCAAATGCTCTCTCTCTCTCTCTCTCTCTCTCTCTCTCTCTCTCTCTCTCTCTCTCTCTCTCTCTCCAACCCCTCCCCCCTCTTCTCCTCTCCCTTCCTTCCTTCTCCTCCCCCTTCCCTACTACATATCCCTGTCTTCCCTCTCTAGCATCTCTATCAGGGCATCCTAACCCCTGTCTTTCATAGAAGTCGACTTTGCCCATTTTTGTCACCTTTAGGGGGTGGCGGAGGTGGGTGGGATGAGGGGCACCTTCCACTTTAAGAGCGCTCCAACAACAGGCCCAATAAGCCAAGGGGAGCCAACACTACTTCCCAGCCTCTCCAAGTGTCTTTAGTTGAAGGCTGATGAACGCTGGGTACTAGCAAACCCGAGGGCGAGGAGAGCCAGGGAGGAGGGACTCTCTTGGGGTGCGGTGGGGGGAGGGAGAAAGAGAGAGACGAAAGAGGAAGAGAGAGGAAGAGGGACAGCCACTGCTGCGTGAGTTAGATAATCAGCAAAAATTAAAAAGAAAAAAAAAAAACTGTAGCGACTAGGCAAGAGGGTTAAAAAAAAAAAAAAAGCAACGCGATTGTAGATTGTATGTGAGCATCTCCGCTCTCGCTCTGCGGGCACCCGAGAATCGCGATGCAGCATCCTCTGACGGGGGCCACCTGCGTGGCACTCCCCAACGTGGGCATGTGTCCCCAGCTCTCGTGTGCCTTGACTTTTATGTACTTACAGCAGGTAAGACGCGCGGCTCTTTCTCAGCGGCAGCTTCTTCTCAGCTTGACCAGACTGGGTACCGGTTCAGTGGGCTGCGCGTTGGGGGGTGGAGGGTGGGGGGTCTCGATCATTGGGACGAGGTTTGGTGGGAGCTTCTGGTTTTCCGTTAAGCCACGATGCTATTTTAATTCACCTGTCTGAATACTTTGTGAACACCGATTTCCAGCCTCAGGGACCGGGAATTTGAAAATAAAAAACTGGCTTTTTCTTGTGAGCATCTTTTCTCATGTCAGAAGTCCCAGAGGTGGGGTGAGGGGAGATTTCTAGGATGTTGAGAGAGTTTGGGGCTCTGTGAAGACATCCTGATGTTTGTAGTTTTAATTCAGCTGTTTTAATGATTGACACAAAGTGTGCATGTAGTGTGTGTGTGTGTGTGTGTGTGTGTGTGTGAGAGCAAAAAAAAAGAGAGAGAGAGAGAGAGAGAGAGAGAGAGAGAGAGAGAGAGAGAGAGAGAGAGAGAGAGATCTTTGTTAAGTTTGTGTTATCTATCCATCCACAAGAATCAGTACATTGGGATATCTGGAGCTTGACAGCCCCCCTACCCAATCTTCTTTGAAACTCCCCAGCATTGGGTGAGCATGGGTAGATGCTGTCTTGACTGGCCGGAACACAGGGTGGTTTGTTTGCTTCTTTGGTTGTTTCTATAACCCAGGCCTGTCCACTCCCTGACAGTGGTCTTGCCAGATGTCTGTTGGCTTCATTCCCACCCAGTCCACATCTGTGAATTTTTGGATTCAGTTCTTGCTCTGAGTGTCTGCTCTGGGCCTCAATGGGTCTCCTCCTCCCTCTTACTAGAAAGGCTTCTGCCGAGTACAATACTCCGGGGCTTTGGAAACCACCTAACACTGTCCTGTGGGGAAGCAGGCCAGCTGTATCACGGGGCGGGGTCTGTGGCAGTGAGTTGGCAATATTAGAGGGGTTTTGTCTGCTGGTGGGAATCCATGACCCGACTCACTTTGGCCTGTCCTATGAAGTTTTCACCGGGGGTAATCCTTTTGCCTGCCTTTCAATGAATTCACTTTAAGAATAAGATTGGTTACATGTGTGTGTTAACAAAACTTCTTTTCCAAGAGTTGAAAGGAGCCCCTTTCCTCCAAGATGTCCCACTCTAATTTGTGCTACAGAAATATATGTCTTCATAAAATGTCAGGGGTTCTGTTTTGAACATTCGGGTAATTTGTTATCAGCTCGGTTGCCAATTTTTTTCCTCCTCATATTTACTGCTGCTAGTCTTTTTTTGAGAATAGCTCCTTAAAAACATCTTGTGAATAAATTGGTTTATACATGTATTTGTTTTATTTTGTTTCCCATTTAGTCAATCATACCAGGAACCATCTCTTAGGAAGGTATTGATAATATATGTGATTCATCAGCATGTACCATTTCCTTGCCTCAGTTGTGAGTGTGTGTCAAGTGCCGGTGCATTTTACATCAGTTATTTGTCACAGAAACATTCCAGTAAACATTTCTTCAGTTGCTAAACCTCAGCTGGATTGAATCAAACAAATTACTAGAGCAACTGGTTTTTTATCCTATATTTGTGCCTTTCATTTTATTTATGAATCAACTGGATTATGTTATTTAAGACGTAGAATGTTATGAGTGCGCAGTGCTTACTCTGTTTCTGGGGCTTATGTGTTTTAACTAATCTGTATTTCTGCTTCATCATTAAACTGGTTTGCTCATTGAAGAATTTAGGAAGGAGGACAGTGGCTTTGAACAAGAATCTATTCTTCTGTGAAAAGGAAGGGTGCATCATGTGGCACCAATCTTTCCCACTGTGGAATGCACCTGCTTTGGAGAGGAGCCCCACAGGAAGTGCTGGCAGCCATAACAAATATTTAGAGGTGACTAAATCAACAGCACGATTCCCCAGGAAGGTAGATGGGGGACGGTCTTTGAAATGAGGTCTCAATGTGTTCTCCCCACAACTGAGTGAGGCATGGGGTCAGAAAGGTGAGAGTGACAGAAGTATGTCCCTTACTGAGGTTTACTAAAATTCTGAAGTATAAAAAACGGGCAGACATTTATTTTTGCTTGTCCTATTTACAATCAAGGTTTTTAGCTGCCACCACTACCCTTTCCTAAAATTCACTATCAGAGACCTGTGCCTTGGGGTCATCTCTTCTGACCTTTTAACGCCATGATTCAAAGTCAAGGTCAGAAAACTGGCTGATTTACAGAGGAGACAGTCCCTTTCATCTCCACAGGCCACATATCAGTACAGACTACACATCTTCTGCCCGTGTGGAACCACTATACTTTTTTCTGCTACTAATCTATGGCTAATATTACATATCCATGTATTTGATAAGCAGAGAGCTAGTTCATACTTTCAAAGCATATTCATCAAATAGATGACTGAATCATGCTTCATTTATGAATAACAATACCTTCATTAGAAGAATTAAATTTTGTGTGTAGGAAAAAGGTATGTGTCAGAAACCACTGTCCTCTTCATCGCCAGTTTACATACAAAAATAATTAAAATCCTCCTATCTTTTGTGAAACATTTCTCATCCTGTTTTTATCCATGCACACGGTCTCATGTGTTGGGGACTCCTGGGTCCTCACTGAAATATTTTATCTTAGAATGAAGTCTTATATAGGGACTATCTCTTACCCAGCACTCAAGGAAAATGACTCGGTTATATGTGTTCACTGGCCTTGATCTTAACAACCCGTTCCTTCCTAGATACTATAAGATTTGTCCTTAAGACAACTCATGAAAACAAAAATCAATTAGGATGCCTCAGCCTTGAGAACATACACTGAATGTTCAAGTGAAAACAACATAATCTCTTTGCTACAAATAGCTTATTTTTTCAGATCAATGAAGTGATATATTTGGTGTTTGCATTTTTTGACTTATTTTGTATCATTTGTTTACATTTTCTAATACTTTCCTTTACATAAATATATTCCTTAAGTTTATGATTTCTTCTTTTTTGCTCTTTTCTCTGTCTTTCTTCTCTTCCCTTTGGAAATGTGAGACAGGATAAAGCTTGGTAACCCTTTTCACATCTAGATAATCTAGCCAATGATGTCATCACTGGCATGTACACACATGCACACTTAAACATCGCTAGCACATTTCATGTGTTTACAGCTATAGCCTACTTCTAGATAGAAGGGATAAAGGGTTGCTGAAGCAGCCAGCTTTTCTTCTCACTGTTGAGGTGAAGTATATGCTTCAGCCTCGAGCCTTGATGTACTGCAGTGGCCCTTTTCTGTGGCTCCTTTGAGGGTGACATTGTCCCACAATTTGACTTCCAGCTTGTATATACTTCCAGGGCAAAATCTTTCCAGAGTTGCTAACTGGTTATTCATTTAAACATTCTTTCTTTGAGAATTGAATTCCAGTTCCAAATTTGGAGCTTATTATCAGTGAGATCAAAGGAGAATCTATTTTGTTTGCTTAATGGAAAACAGCATGTGCATTCTCTTACACACACACTCTCACATACACACACACACACACACACACACACACACACACACACACACACACACACTACAACGGTCTCCTAAATCAAGGGGAATAAACACCAGGTGCCCATTTCCTGGTAAGGAATACTGAGGACATAGGCAGGACAGACACTCCGGTTTGTTTTCTGATGCATACTTCATACTCCAGACCTCCAGAGCTGTATATTGCACAGAGTTCCCACTCTATAAAGAAAACCAGTAGCATATGAACTTACTCCTTGTTCCTACCCCACCCTCACTGTCTCCAGTTCTGTTCTGCGAAGCCTTCTCATCTGTCAAGTGCTGTTCACTCCCAACCTTTTAATCAGCCCAAATTTAACAACGAGTCAAATACTTAAAATCCACATTAAAGAGGGGAGGAAAAGGGGGCCTCTAAAGTGGCCCACACCACTGTCAATATCCAAAGATGGGTCATTTTTCCACACCTAATGGTGATGCATGAGCTTTGTTTTAAATAGTGAAGTGGTTTGTACAAAGGGTAATTCCTGGTAAATGAAGCCATTGCTCATGGTGGACACCTTCAGATCGAAAGCAATTGAACTGAAACCCGCACATCAGCCCTTTCTGTCTTTAATTAGAAAGTGCTGCTCAGTGTGGAAACTCACTGGGGTAGAAGGGCTCCCTCATGGAGGTTGGATGGTGGTGGTGTTGCGGGGGCTTGCTTCTATGCACCAGCAGTGGTTATAAATTTGGGACACATTAGGTAAGGCATAACAATTATTGCTGCATAGGAAAGTTCAATTTTCATTGCAGTTACTCCCCTTTGGTCTCTCCATCTGATGATTTACGGAGGGGACAAATGACACTTTATCACATTCTTTCTTCTTGGCTTAATCCCGTACTGATTTATTAGATAGTGCTGCGGATTGGGGGTAGTCAATAGTGTCAATAACGCAGAAAAGAATTAGGATAGATTATCTTCATGTCTGAATTGTTTAAAGGGATCTAAGTGGCTAGAATGAGCACATTTGTAGGCCTTGCTAGCTGTTTGCCATGAGATGTCTGCCTGACTGTGTCTTCAGATATTGTCTGCTATAAATTTTTTGATTAACGAACCCTGCTGCGTTTTCTGATCTTTTCTAAAGAGAGAGAGAGAAGGTGTGTGTGGTGGAGCTGTCTGAACAGGGTGAGGCCCAGCATCCAGTGAACCAGGTGCTTCTTCTCCTTAGCCCCATGGAGAGAAAGGTCTCATGAAATGGGCTCCCTTCCTTCCTGTTGCCTACAAGTTTACCTGGATTGCCTCTTCGTTAAAGCCACTTTAAGTGACATTCATTTGTGGAAACCATGATGCATCTGTCTGTCCACAGATGGGTGTCTCCTGTGCCATTTCTCTCTGCCTGCCATTTCGTGGTAGGTTGTGTGTCAGAACATGCAAGCCAGCATCTCTGCCTGAGCCGGGAAAGGAGAAAGCCCATGTCATTAGTGCTCACACACCATCTGTTTTTCTTACAGCTGGCCCTTGAGTGATTGTC